GAGCGTGCAATGCAAATTTAATGAAATCTCAATTGACGGCGAACTAAGTTGCTCCTGTCCTACCTGAGATGCTGTTGTCATGGTAGCTGCTGCCTCTGCTGATAGTCATCGAAGAGGGGTGACGGCTAGAGATGCACAACCTTGCTTGCGGATTACCGCAGATCCTTTAAGCCTTTGACTTTTCCTGCTAAGCGATCGTAAAACGTGGGTTATGTATTTATGGCCCCCGCATCCACCCATCCATGGCTGCTGCCCGGTCACAGTCTGAGCAACTTCACCAACCTGGCTGGGTGCGGTTTAATCCGAGACCACCAAAGAGATCATGGCGCACTTATTTAATCTGCTCAGTTGGGTGCAAATTGTTTCTTAAGCGGGTAGCTGACCTCAGGATACCTTTGGGAAGCGGATAATCCTTCCCATCGCTGCTTGCCGGGATTAGCATATCATTTTGAGTGAAAATCCAAGTAGACCAGCAAGAAGCTTTGTTCGTTTGTTTGGCTGTTGTTGGTAATCGTGGAAAAGTCAAAGGCAAAAGCCAAATGAAACAAAAATGACTAAAAATCAAAATCAAAATGAGAGAAATTTACAAAACTTGCACTACCTGTTTACCAACTACCTGGCTTTCGAGTTCGAGTTCGACTTCCAGTCAGTTCGGGACCCCGTTTCGGAAACCGGCTCAAGTTCTTCTACCTTGTGCCAAGGGATTAAGATGCGCTGTTTGGTGGGCATGTTGTGCTAATCAATTGATTAGCACTGCTTTGGGGATCGACGTGGGAGTGATCGATAATGCTGTAGGAAATATATATAGAGTGAGATATATATACATATATGGAAGATATGCATAGGTATGTCCTTGCAGAGGGTTAAGATGTTTTGTGTGCAATCGAACAAATTGAAGAGAGGTAAACAGAGAGAGGGAGAGCGAGAGAGAGAGAGAGAGGGAGAGGCTGGAGGAAAAAATTTCTGAAGTGTGATAGATAGAGAGAAGGGGAGAAATATTAACATGGAGGGAGATCGGGATCGGGAGAGAGATTGATAGACGACAGAAAAAAGAAAGATAATGAGAGGGAAAGATAGAGAGAGACTTGGGGAAGAAATTAATAAAGGGAGAGTGAGAGAGAGAAGGATAACGAGACATAGATAGAGAAGGGGATCGGGAGATAGAGAAAGAGGAGAGAGAGGGAGAGAAGAGAGGGAAAGAAGAGAACAGAGAGAAGCTAGAGAAAGGTAAAGAGAGAGAGAGAGAGAGACAAAAAGAAAAAAGAGGTGAGAGAGAAAATTGAGAAAAAAGAGATAAAACAAAAACAACAATAATTCTGCTTTATATACATATATACTTACATATATTAGAAGATTATATATGCATGATTTGAAGGTATTGTCAAATAATTAGGATATTGTTAACTTTCAAGATTTAACTATGACTACTACTAATTCATACATAAATAAACAAGTAAGAAGACTCTAGTCGAGACTGCTCGACTAGGAGACCCCTGAACCCTCTAATCTGATATTCTAATCAGTCTGCACTTCTTTTCGACACACATACATACACACGCACGTAT